AGTAACTTTTTTTTCATTTACATTCCCGCCTTTTTCATTTACTTTTTTTTAAATACTGTTTTATTTAACTTTCAATGTAGTTTTTTCGCAAATGTATTAAAAAACGTCGTCGTTTGATACACGTGCGGATTTGTCATTTTCACTTGTCTCGAGTCTTATATACAAGGTGTAAATTTGAGACGCGGCAACAAGGGCAGCTACCTTAATCGTTGTAGTTACAGGAAAATGGTTCTCGAAGACTATCCATGAATTTTGAAGATATTTTGATTGGCATTCACGGGTTTTGAAAATATGGTACAGTCAGCAAGATAATTTTTACAAATCTTTTTATTATGCCATTTGATCCGGTATGTGGTAAGGATCAATAGACTCTATGGGACCAACTGAGGTAAGAGTACTCTAAACGTCAGAAATCGCAAAAAACTTTTTACCATACATTTTGTAGGGACTTATTTAGAAATCAGTTATTCCAGGTAGTTACGGTAGCTAACAATATGGAAACTAACAAATTGACAACGTATTATGTATTTCAAAATAAAAACAATAACGAAAAGCAAAATATCAAAATAATATCAAAAGTCTATGATAATAAGTGCTCGAATTGATTGATGGATGCATCCATTCGCTCTCTTCCGCAAAGAGCAAGTAGCGGCTGAAATTCTACTCAGATGGATTCTATTGAAAATTGCTGCTTGTGCGTCTTTCAATTCTTGAACACTGTTGTATTTTTTTATACATTTAATTTTTTACATAGCCCCAAAGAAAAAATCAAGGGGCGTCAGATCAGGACCACGCGGTGGCCATTTGATAGGATCATGTGTTCCCATTAATTTGTTTCCTCGCTTGAGAACATTTTGATTAAAAATCGTCTTAAAAGTGACAATTCTCCATTAACAAAACAAAACAAAGCTGTTCCAGATTTAAAAAATAGTGATATGATTATGATTTGGTTTTACTGAAGTCTTATTTGTAGAGTAGTGGCCAGTATCGTTTCTAACAAAAACTTTTCATTTAAAATGTGTGGTAAAAGATTTTTTGCGATTTCTGCCATTTCGAGTACTCTTACTTCAGTAGGTCCCATAGAGACTGTTGATCCTTGCCAGAGACCGGATCGAAAGGCATAAAATTTTTTTTGTAAAAATTGCCTAACTGGCTGACTGTACCATTTTTTCAAAATCTGTGAATGCCAATCAAAATATCTTCAAAATTCATGGATAGTCTTCTAGAACCGTTTTCCTGTAATTACAACGATTAAGGTAGCTGGCCTTGCTGCCCCGTCTCAAATTTACACCCTGTATATAGTCTATAATGACTAACTTTCCATTATTGTATCAAAAATAACTATTTCTTCATCCTGTAAAGTTGTCAAAATTTAGGTAGTACCGGTTGCCAGTTTACAGTCGAAATGTCTGCTTACCAGCTTTCTCCATAAATTCGTCCCAATGCCTATCCTTCATGCCAGGGTTCCTCACTGCCTGGATTACCGGGATTAGAGGACGGAAGGTATCTATCATTTCCTGAAATATGATTGCTATTATCACTGTCCGGCCAATTTGTAGAGATGTATGAAGCATTCAGAGCACTGTGTGGCGCTGCACTGCGCACGACTTGCTCGTTCCGTTATTTGGTATAATAAAAAAATGCAGGTTCATTAGGATGTTTTCGTTCACCGCTAGCGAGAGGTATTACTAGTAAATAATCACAACTACGTTATTTAGAAACTAAAGTTATAGATACATGAATTCGAACACAGGCCGACACGGTAATTCACACCGTTGACCTTTCAATTAAGAAGCACCCGTTCTGCCACCGGGTTATAGCTGCTCATTTATTACACAGAATAAATAATATCAATGTTACAATATAACTATATTTATAGTAGTATGATTGTCACGGTTACCTATGAGTAGTCCGTAGTGACATTTTCCAGAAATAACGATTGCTCGAATTTTCATAACCTCGAAAGTAATTTTGTGAGGAAAATGTTTTTCTTTTAAACTTAACTTAACTTAACCGAACCTAATCGTGTCTTTGTGGTAAATATCCAACATATCCTGAAAGAACAACGGTTTCGTTATAATTCGGTTTTCGGTGTAATGAAAATTCGAACAAACGTTATTAAAACCAAAATTCGAGTTTGTGTTATCCATGGGCACACACATAGACAACCAGAAAGTACACTCAATCTCACGAAATAAATAAATGTAGGCTATACAAATATTTCTCTATTTCTGCATGGCAGACCAGCATGATATCCATTCGGCCACAGAGCAGGCACGGAGGAATTGAAATAATGAATTGTATGTATGAATAGTGCATCTTAAATAACCTATTCAATTATGTACGTGCATGTGCGGATATGAATATAAGTATAGCTTAAGTGAGACTTATGATTGTGTATATGTTTCAGTGGCGAGGATACATGTAACTCGATTTTCACCGGCGTGCCTAAAATTTTCCACATATTATGAAATACTACATTTTGTGCTAAATTTTATGTGTAGAATAAGTTAGCCAGTGAAATGAAGTATGCTAGTACATTTGTGTGCTAATAAAATGTGTTAAAGTGTCGCCAGGGTGCCACTTTTTCTTAAGGTTGAAACGCGCTCGGCTGACGCTGGTGGATTGTAATGTAGATTCCGCTTGGAATATTCTGAAGATTATAACGTAGCCAGGGCCTAGTTAGGCAGAGTAGTAGTACCTTCGGCAGCCAGCGCGCCTCCGTACATCTTGCTGAGTACGTTTAAAGTTCAAAATTCAAAAGGGTAAAGAACTAGTGGTAATAAATCCAGTTTTAACAATATTTATGGTATTGAAAATGTTTACCGCACAAGAGATTTTTGGTAACTGGTAAGCGGTTCAAAAAAATAATAAGAGAATACGTGTTCGCCGCGATCGGGCAGAGAGTGACGGTGAAACGAAACAAAATCAGAATGCGAGGCAAAAGAGCTATGGAACAATTCAAAATTTAAATATAAACACGAGTGGCCAGGAACCGGAGAAAGGCGATAAAAAGGTGGGATGACGATGTAAGGAGGTCACACTGTCACAAGGTAAGTGTTTTTTCTTTTGCTCCGGCTTTACTAACGACAATTTCACGCCTCGCCCCTGATATGTTTTATGTATAGTGTATTATCACAAGGCTTACTTGTGGCTAAAACACAGAGTTTTGTAACTGTTATGCACATTGTGAGAGTCTCGGTTATACCACTGTATGACTAATCACCAGGCTCCCTCCTCCTGAGCACAGGTTAATCACTCCTCTTATTAATTCCAGCTCGGTGAAGCTTTGCAAAAGTTAAGTAGAATAGGAAAAACTTAAAAAAGTAGGTAAGAAAATGTAATACTTAATAATAATAAATAAATTAAGTAATAAATCAAAGTAAAAATTAATTTTTAAAAGGTCACGAAAAAGAGCACATGGGGATATAAAAACTAATAATAATAGTAAAAAAAGTAGTCCCCGTTCATGACCCATTGATTTTTTACACCGTGTATATTATGTTTAACTGAAATATACTAAACAATAATAACGTGACAGCACAACCACACCAATTATCGGGTCTCGACCTAGGAAGTAGCAGTAGAGATACTTGTGAAGGAGTTTGTCCAGGGTGCCATCTTACCTATTTCTGCCGCCAAGCAGTAATGTCGGCATTACTGTGTTCCGGTTTTGAAAGGTAAGGGTGCTTGCTGGTGAAATTACAGGCGCATGGGACTTGTCAATTTATGTCTCAAGGTGACGGGCACGGTGGCATTGCCCCTAAGATCTTTGCGATTTAAAGCTCTTGAGTGGCAGTTAATTCTGGTGTACTATATCCCACATCATCAAGACATTTTGAAATGCTAAGTTTCCTGGCTATATCAGTAACGAACCCCGGCAACTTCTTATCTAACGCCCGCGGTCCTAGTGACTGAACCGCAGAGATAAAAAAAATAGGCAGTGTTCTTCAGAAAATATAATGGGCCTTGCATACCTTTATAGTAATAGCTACAGCCTGGATCTTGGGCATGTCGTGGAAGGTGCGTACGCATCGCACGATGGTCTTGTACAGATCATTGACCAGCGGTTCAATCTGGTCAGCATCCACGTACATCAGAGGGTTGTCAAACCACATCTCCTGGTGTTTCATGAAGTCTGCAACAACGCTTTTGTTTTTATTACCTTGTTTCCGACTTCAGGCTATTTACTTTCTTATATTATTATTTAATATTTTATTACTTATTCTCATATATTATGAGACATTAAAGGGCAGGGATCTCCTGAAATGACATTGTGTAGGCCGAAGACCACCATGACGCCTAACCACCATGGCGCGAGTTGGAAACGTCACACAATGTCTAGACCAGTGCGCTGTCATATTTCATCTTGCGTCTTCAACTTTTGTCTGACGTCATGCGTATGTAATATTGATTGCAATAAGACGCATGCAGTCCAATGTCCACTACGCCTTATTCAGTTAATAAATTCGATAATCTTCTATATAATCCATTGTTTTAACTTTATCTTCCGCCTTTTTTCTGGTAAAACCTACAGAATGTTGCAGATGAACCCACCCGTGCCAAATTGGCGTGCACTAAGGGCATATACCTATATTGTTGTCTCCCCACTATTTTCAGAGGAAGATGGACATGAAAGTGCACCGGTGTGGACATATCAATATGATCCCAACGTGTTCTCAATTGAAGTAACGTTTACTCACCAGAGGAAGTAACCCAAAGGTTCTTGTAAGGTTCGAACTCGCGCACTAGTTTATTTAAGTCAATAAAGGGCACGACTGTTAAGCCAAACAACTTCTGGCGCTGGTTGAGCACGCGGCCCCAGTCTTGAGCATCCTTCATGCCTTTCCATGCCTTCTTTATGTCGTTTGCGATCTCATGCACCTATTAAGAGACGGTTGTTTATAATGGGGAAGGTTTTTGTACACCCTATATTGCAACCTCAACAATAAAGTGAGTTAATTCGAAAAGTTACATTTTTATATAATAAAAATAATATATAAATATAACTTTTTTTATAAAAAAAGACGATCTCAAAAGTTTGTGGAATTACATCTACTTGCCAAGTTTTATTGAAATCGGTTACTGAAAAGTGCGCGAAACCGAATTCATCCCCTACTTTGCCACCCTTAGAGGTGAAATATTTCCTTCAAATTTAAATGGGACCAATACTGAAATACCCTCTTTCCAAAAAAAAAAGAATCATCAAAATTAGTTTAATTCGGAGTCCTCCAAAATGATTTTTTGTGAAATGACTCCGCTAATTTGTTATACTTGTTAATAAACAAAGATGGAAACATTCATTCGGATCGGCTGGATGCAAACCAGCACCCTCAGGCAATCCGTGCCAGATGGTCTGTCCATAAAGCCGCGGAACGAACGTGCTTGTTGCAGATCTTAGTTTTTGGTTTTTAACGACTTTTTAGTTTTACTCAAGGTCAACTTTTACTCAAGGACTTTTTGGTCTCAGATCTTTGCGTTTTAAAGCTCTGAGTGGCACTGCAACTATTACAGGCGTGTAGTTTACCATCAGGCGCACGACTTGTTCGTTCCGTCACTTGATACTCTAAAAAAATGCTAAATAAGCTTGAACGACTGCAAAAGATATGTATAAGGTTTTGGCTTTGGGCTTCGTAAATATGACCGAATTTCACATTTCCGCAGTCAGCTCAAATGGCTTCCCATCCGTCTCCGCAGGAATTTGCATATTGTCTCCATTCTTTATAATATTTTACATAACCCTGTGTCTCCCGGGTACCTCAAAGAGCGTTTCAGCTTCCTTAGGTCCCAGGATAAACCCTGTCGCTCTCTTGTTAGGTCCCAGTTATCTTTTCCATGCTTCAATTCCGGTTTCTATTATCACTCCTTCACTGTTCATGCGGTCAGACTTTGGAATGCACTTCCTATTACAGTTCACGAATGTAAATCGATAACTATTTTTAAAGTGAGAGTTAAAGAGCATTATTTATCTACTATTCCATAAATATCTTAGGTATTATATTATAAAATATGTATTTAACTAAGTATTTATATAATTTATAACAATTTAATATTATTATATTATTTTTATTTATTTTTTTTCCTTGTTTTGTTGTGCACATATGCCCGTTCTTTTAGTTATAGTGTCCTGTATTTAGGTCTGCAGGAAGAAATTTCTATTAGAAATAAGCAGAACCTTTTGTTTTTAATTTCGCTTGTATTCTTTGTGACTTGTTGTATTTTTCCTGTACAATAAACTATTAAATAAAAAAATAAACAAAAAAAACTTTATTTGCTGCCGTCAGTACCTTAGAGAAATCGTTTTGCAGCGTGAGCGCCATGCACTGAGCGCTATAGTAATCGATCTTGTCATATAGAGCTTGTTCATCTTGCATGTGCAGCTTCAGGAACTTCTCTTGCTCCTCTTCCAAGAAGTCGTAAGTTACATCCACCTGCACACCAAATCACAGTATAAATAAATAAATAAATAATTGACGCACTCACTCATAGTCCAGCAAGGGAAACCCTGTATCGCAGGTGCCATGGACACACACAACCACAAATCTGTGGCTCTAGTGAAAAGGGGTACAAGTAGCCGACTTCTCCTTGTAAAGTTGGGTTTATTTTCTTGTACCCTTTTCACTAGAGTCATAGAAATTACACCCAAACACACAAAAGAAATAAATGTAGGCCATGCAAATATTTCTCCCGGGTCGGGAATCGATCCCTGGAGCTCTGCGTGGCAGACCAGCATGGTAACCATTCGTCCACGGAGGCAGTTAAGGTATATGGAGATCTTTTTGGTTTTGGAGATTGTTACACATAGGAAATTAAACTATGTTCTAGGATCTAAATTACGTATATATTTTTTTTTAAGTAAACCAAAGGGCCCGAAATGGTTGCTTATGCTCTGGCCACACAGGGGCGGCCGCGTTTTAGTATGGCAGGATTCATTTGAACTCGTAAGTACATTACAAAAATTCTCGCGCTCCGAACGCTTCTGCGGTCGCCTCTGTGTGAACATTAATTGCAAAAAATATACAAAGTAATTTGTAAAATACTAACAACCTCGCAAGACTATATAAATAGTTTTTTTCAAATGGGGAAATCTAAAACCATTAAAGATACAAGAAAACTGTCAAAGGAATCATTACGTCTTTTTTTGTGAAAACAATGTTGGCATAGTTTTGGTCAAGCATGAGTTGACCATAAAAATTAATAAAAATGATGAAATTTTTTTTAGTGCTGATCGACAGTTTTATGTAAAGATCATTTCATTCACGGGACGAACAAAATCGGGATAGCAGAAGACGGACAAATTTCATAAAATGTTTTTCATATAAAATGAATAAAATTGACAATTTTTTTAACTTAAATTTTTATTGAATTGATATTCAATAATTTTTATGTGCATTACTCCGCTAGTTTTTATAATTATTAATACAAAGATCGAACACTCAGAAAAAATTCCTTCGATCCGGCCGGATTCGAACCGACGTCTTCTAGCATACCGTGCCAGACGCTATACCAACTGAGCCACGGAACGAACCATAGGACCTTACGAATTTTTCTATTTGCTTACGTGGTATCTTTGTATCTGGTTTTTCAGCCGTGAGAAATCTATGATATTTCGTCACGCAGTTGGATCTTTTTAGTTTTATTTACTTTAGACAGATTAGAAAAAATCCTTTCAAGATATAACAACAAATGTTTTTTTATGCTAATAGCATTGACTTACAAATAAATGGACGACGGGTCTAATACAAAAACCACGAAAAAAATGTCCCAAGTCAACCTATTCGAAATTTAAATTGTAATGTCATCGCAGTATCGCGCTGTCAGTCGAACAAATGAAGACTAAAGCGGAGTGTCGCGCTCTGTATACTATTTTAGCGCCTTACAAGTGCGGACACTTTTTAGCGCGGACCCGACGTCCATATAATTGTAAGTCAATGGCTAATAGAGTACGTTTCTCATAAGGACAATTTCATTAGAGTTACCTGTTTAGTAATATTTAGGGGCCATCCAATGGCCTCCCATAGAGCTTTGAAATCGTCATCGTCAAGAGGCCTATAGAACACTTCTAGTACTTCATAATCCTGTAAAAGTTAAAAGTAGTATTGCAAATAAATCATGACAATTTTGAAAACAGTTTTTCCCCGCGACTAAATATCTCGTGTTAAATGGATCGTGTTTTTTTAAAACAAACACTACTAGCGTATTTAGCGGAACAAAAAAATGTCAATATAAAATCATAGGTAAAGTTAACATCAAGAAGCTGGAAAACTACAGACCCATCAGTCTAGTGTTGCATATTTACAAGCTTTTCTGTCCAGTTTTGGTTAACAGACTCGACAGAAAAGTAGAATTTTCCAACCCATACAACAGGCAGGTTTTCGCTCAGGTTTCAGTACAAATGACCATCTTCAGACTTTTAAAAGTGGTGGTTCATAGAATGAGCCCTAGCTAGATGCTGTATCGATGAAAGGAACATACAAGTCCTCAATCATCTCCATCAGAACGCTAACGAACGCGGCGGCCGCGTGTCTATCGCGCGTTTCAGTGTGCCAGGGTTGATATGAACTCGTACATTACAAAAATTCCCGCGCCCGGAACGCTTCCGCGGCCGACTCTGTGTGGTCAGAGCATTATTTTAGCTTGTTTCTAAGGTCCAAGGTTTAAGGACTTTTATAAGGTCGGATAGAGTACATCCTATCGTGTAACAAATTAGCACATTCTTTAGAGAATAACCCTTAGCTGTATCGTATATTTTTTGTAAGACCGTTGTTTAGTAGTAAATACCTAAGCCATTTGATCTAACAAAACAGTTTTTTCCCCGCTTCTCCGCCGGTGACTAGCCTAAATACATATTATCGTCTCCAAAAAAATCCCTGCCGTGCTTTTCGGTCACTACGTGCTGGGCCTAATGGAAGAAGACAGGCTCTGTCAGATGTATAGATACACCTTTTCCATTGTGCGTTCTTACAAAATCTACTCGCTTGGCCTGTCCCCATGCAATGGTGTAGGAATCAAAATGTTGTTTATTATTGCAACTTACGGTAAACACTTTCCTCATAATATCTTCCTGTTGCTTCAACAAAAAAGGAATAGACTCCATCCATTCGCGAATCTCGAAGACATGTTCGATAGTGTTCGGTTTCTCGCCTAGCTTGCGCATTATGTTCTTGTAAGCTTGAATGACATCATCTAGGACCAGTCTTATTTCTTCTGCCCACATCGTTAGAAGGGCGTTCATTATATCATTCCGCTTATGTATTAGTTGTTGCTGGAATTGATTTTTATCGTTAGTAAAAGCTTTTCATACTAACTTGCCATAGACTTTAGTCTCGATAGAGTGGGTGGCATTTAGTTGAACGGTTATTTATTTGCCAAAAACAAAAGATATTCCTATCTTTCACACAGTTATCAACATCCATTTTATAGTAGCATGATTAAATATCCAAAAAAAAACCTAAAATATGGACACATTGAATCGGGAGTAAGGTTCGAAACACAAAACTGCGAATCAGCGCGACGCGAATTCCAGCGTTAGAGATTTAGTGTGGCAAGGCATCTCACTGCCACGGATCCCGTAATCATTCCTTCGACTATCGCCAACCGCACTGAAAGTGTTTTTTTAAACTAGGTAGCGACATGGATCGTAAAAAGAGGGTTGCACTCATTGACTTACAATTATATGGACGTCGGGTGCGCGCTAAAAAGTGTCCGAACTTATAGGGCGTTAAAATCGTATACAGAGCGTCATTCACGCTTTAGTCTTCGTTTGTTCGACTGACAGCGAAGCAAGCAAAATTAGACAGTACTGCGATGACATTACAATTTAAATTCAACGTTTTAGCTTTTTCATATTCCTTTACATGTCACTACGTTTAAATAGGTTGACTTGGGACATTTTTTTCGTGGTTTTTGTATTAGACCCGTCGTCCATTTATTTGTAAGTCAATGGTTGCACTGCTGTTATTGGTAAGAAAGTATAGGAAAAAAACACAAAGAAGATTAACATTGCAGGAATGCGCGATGCGGAGCAATTCGCAAATTCTTGCGATGCGTCGTGCGAGCTCGTAGATGTCTGCGGTGCGGTGTCGCAGTTTTGTGTTTCGACCCTTAGGAAAGAGTAGCCAAAGTAAAAGCGCGAAAGAAACATGCTTTTGTAAATAGATTTTTTTTGTAATATCAAGTGACAGGACGAACAATTCTTGCGGTTGGTGTTAAGTAACACGCCTTACAATGCCAATCAGTGTAGTGTTTAAATCACATAGATCTCAGGGGCATTACGACTGCCCCATGTGCCTGTAATTTCATAAGCACGTTGACCCTTCAAAACTGGAATACGGTAATGGTGACATTACTGCTTGGCGGCAGAAACAGGTAAGGTGGCAGCATTTCCCTGAGACGAACTCTTTCACTGGGAGCTCTACTGCTATTAAACGAGCCCCTAAGTGTCCTAAAAACAAGTTAAAAACATCATGGTCTTCAATAAAAAAGTAAATATTGATATTAAAAACATCCTTAGACAGAAGAGATCTTATGTTCATGTCCTGCTTCTTGCGCAAAATCCTGATAAGGCCTGTTGGGCGTTATTAGTAACAGGACAGGTTGGTAATACAGTCCTGCGAGGTTGTTAGCAACCTCGCAGGACACTATAAACAACAACTTTTGTTCCATGGCTTTTAATAATTCATTAGATTTTACTTTGGTCCAAAAATAAATTTAAATAGACCGCGATAAACAGTGATAACTCTGTGCGGCAGCAAAAGAAAGCACCCACCACCAAATTATTTTTATGAATCTGCACGATGGAAGGGTTGCTAAACAATTTACTACCAAATATAGATGTAAAACATGTCAGATAGTACAATAACTTATCTATGATTATGGTACAACACAAAATCCGCTATTTGTAGTGGACATTTTTGGTTTAGGTAGGTACGTTTATTCCGTAGATAGGGCAGCTCCTTTCCTTTATTTTTTTTCCATCCTCTAAGTTCTGCATTCGTGACTACCACGGAAGAAAAAACAATGGGAACGCCTAATCCTCGATTACTATGAGAACCGATGTCGCCAAAACTCACACATGCTTAATTTGAAACACTAAAAATCATGATATTGATTGGTCGTACTTTCAAATTTAAAACGAAATTACAAATTCTGGATTGTTAATGTAATTTAAACTTTGCCCTGCTGGCATATCGTTGAAAGTTCAATAGTATTATTACTATTATTACAAGTTACGACGTTTTGATATTATATTGAAATTTCTATCAATGTAGCCATTGACTTACAAATAAATGGACGACGGGTCTAATACAAAAACCACGAAAAAAATGTCCCAAGTCAACCTATTCGAAATTTAAATTGTAATGTCATCGCAGTATCGCGCTGTCAGTCGAACAAATGACTAAAGCGGAGTTTGGCGCTCTGTACACGATTTTAGCGCCTTACAAGTGCGGACACTTTAGCGCGGACCCGACGTCCATATAATTCTAAGTCAATGAATGTAGCACTCTATTTAGCGATTAATTACTGAACGACGACGAATTGGAGTTATTAATTTAGTTATTCAAACAAGAAGTGACCATATTGCAGGGGTATAAGCTTTACTTTCTTGTAACAACAAAATATTTCGATAAACAGAAAATTGAAAATTTATTAAACGGGTAATAGTTTTGGTGCAGCTATCATTTTTGTACTCCAAAACAGCACAATAAGGCATTTTTGTAGGATTGTAGAATTAAAATAGAAAGAATGACACAAACATACCATACAAAGCAAAAATGGTGGACTCAGATATTCTTTCGAGTATTCTACTGTATTTATTGTTCAGTGGTGACTACAATCCACTCCTTTATATACATTGACTTACAATTATATGGACGTCGGATCCGCGCTAAAAAGTGTCCGCACTTGTAAGGCGCTAAAATCGTATACAGAGCGCGACACTCCGCTTTAGTCTTCATTTGTTCTATTGACAGCGCGATACTGCGATGACATTACAATTTAAATTTCGAATAGGTTGACTTGGGACATTTTTTTCGTGGTTTTTGTATTAGACCCGTCGTCCATTTATTCGTAAGTCAATGTTTATATACTTATATATAAACGCATAAACCTCACTTAATATTACAGTAAATTTATTACGTTTTGTAAAAAGTGATGGAACAAAAGTTGTTGTTCATGATGTTAGTAATATAGTTTGGCGAGGATTATAGTACTTTACAAATAACCTTATATACGGTTCGATTTTTTTAACTGGGATAGTATAGGGAAATCCGGAACCATCCTAGATAGATACAGGGAAAACGTTTTAGAACCTATTAGGTCTTTTTTGCGAAAACAAATTTGACATAACCAATTACTTGGTCAGGCGTGAGGCAATTTTGTTTTTGATGCTTATTGAAAGCTAATATGTCGATGAAATTTTTTTGGGGCTGAAATTCTTATTCGTATATAGTCCATAATTTTATAATAGTTACACAATTATGTATGGAGTTCCATCAGGATCTACCAATATTAAAAACAAAAAAAAACAGTCCTGAAATTGAAGTCGAATGCAGTCTCATGCAATGAAGCATGATCGGGCAGTCAACCCTACCAGCCACAACACGAAGAACGTTATTTGAGTTGCTACGGGCATTGCTTAGCAACGAGGCAGCTCTCTTTCTAAGAATAGCATGAACGCCATTCGTCTGATCTGCAGTACTGCGGCAACGCCAGCAACACTGTAAGTGCGTTGTTGTACTGAATGCGGGGGCGTTAATTGTCTTCTGGGAATGGTTGACCCACATATTACGGGTATAAAAGGTTTGGCAGAATAAAACCTACCTAAAATATTATTACTCACTTTTTTTTTATTCAAATGTAAGTGTCCATTTGACCTTAATACGTCCTACGTTTTAGTTACGAATCTTGGGTATAACGGATACCCAAAATTTGTACTGGAAATAATGATCTCTAGGTTTCTACGTTTCCAGAATAGAGAGAAATCACCTTGAGAGTATCGATGTTGAGCGCGAAGGGCCCAATGCCTATGAATTGTGGCAGGCGCCAGATCAGGTCCCACTTGGCGTCATAGTGCTTTTGAACTTCTTCGCGCATTTCACTCGCAGAGTGTTTCTCTTCCCTGAACGTCCTGGAATAATCAAAGCACATTTTAAGATTTGCAAGATAATAAATAATTTTCACTTGCTAATCTCAATGTCATCCTATTCTAACCCGAAAGGTAACCTAGACTTAAAAATGCGAACAGCAAATTCGTTTACAGAATTTGATTGTCGTGTCGATTCTCATGAGCTAAAAATCCACGACAAACATGTACAGCAACAACATCGGCAATTTTAATCAAATAACTGCTTTTTCGGTTGGTCAGAATCACAGACATATATCTCTAAACTGTGGAAGCATAGCAGCGGCAACTAATTGTTTTTATATTACACTGGGCTCTCGGAGTAGTTTTTTTTATAACATCAAGTGACGGAACAAATAAGTCGTGCGTCAGATGGTAAGCTACACGCCTGTTAAGAATAGTTAGTGCTACTCAAAGCTTTAAATCACAAAGATCTGAGGGGCACTACAATTGTGCCTGTCACCCTGTGACATAAGTTGACAAGTCAATGTGCCTGTAATTTCATCAGCACCCTTACCCTTCAAAACTGGAACACAGTAATGCTGACATTACTGTTTGGCTGCAGAAATAGGAAAGGTGGCAGTACTTCCATGGACGAACTCTTTCACAAGGAGCTCTACTGCTACTAAACATACACTTGCGGCGTCTATTTAGATATAAGTCTGTATCGCCAATCAACCTATGATCGTGCAGTCAGTGTTGTGGCTCTTTGTACACCACTGTGTCAAGAAAGGCAAACATTAGTGGATGCACTTAAACGGTCCTATGTTCTTTATCTTTTTCTTTACAACTTTCGTGGTTGCAGGCGAAAGTTAGTTTCATATATAATTATTGTTAAAAATATTACTTACTCAACATAAGTTTCAACTTCAAGGTTATAAATTTCAGTGTAACACTCGTATTCGCGCAAGTATGCGTACAGAGGGATCACTGCCTTGCGGTACGCCTTTAGCAGGCGCTCGCGATATTCGCATACGTTCGGCTCCATTAGACCTAACCCCAAGAGTTAACATTAAAAGTGGTGGCAAAAGACTGTATCGATAAACGCGCGATTGCATCGATGAAAACGCCTATGAATCTCAAGTGTAGTTGTGCAATCGCGCGTTTGTGTCGATGCAGTCGCGCGCTTGCATCGCGTTTGCATTGCGGCTTAAAATCGCGCGCTCGTGTAATCGCGCGTTTGTATCGCTGCTAAAAGTCTCCGTGTGTAACCGCCCTTAAGCTTACTATATCTGCCATCTACACTACGTACGTCTGTACGTCTCACATTTGGACGAAAGTCTTCTCCAAGGACCTTATTATCATTGAGACTGGATCACATGCAAGTTGAGAATAGCAATGCGCAATTTGAATGATTTCGACATTCCACTCGTTAGTAATTACTACTTCTGCCATTCGAATGACAAATTAGTAACCTACTAATTTTCGTATTCGAATGGTCTGAATGATCATTTATTGCTAATTATTATACTAATCCATATATTCCAATTAGCATTTATGCCTAGCTCTCTCTGAGATATGGTAAATAAATACCGGAAATGTGACTGGGATAATTTGTGTTTAATTTTTTCTTAGTTAAAAATGAGCATATTCAAACATATCAATGACTTTCCAGAGTAGCGGCCTATTTCAAAAACAACGAATCATCAGGAATATAGTTTAAAAAAACTGAGGAATAACGCAATTCATAATGCAATTGTTTCTTGTTTGAACCAAGTTTGGTGTCTTATCCACAATCAAAATTAAGCACATTCTAAATTCTAAATTTGTGGTTGTCTATGTGTGTGTCCATGGCACCCGCTACACAGGGTTTTCCTGGTCAGGCTATGTTGAGTGTGTGCGTTATTTATTTATTTATTTAAATACAGCTCTTCTTCTTCATCCTGTCTCAATATGTATTTTTCTTCCACTCTACCCTATCAGCCGTCATTTCCATATTCACACCATGCTAAATACCGCTAACGTAATAATTTAAAAAATAACTTTTTTGGTTTGGACATCTATTCTTGAGAAACAGTAATGTATATGTATATGTATGTACATACATACTGTGGTAGGCAGACGTATAATATTGTATAGACTAAATATAATAGCCGATAACTCAAGTATATGCTGATCAGTGAATGCTTTGTCTGTCAGGTGGTTAGCAAGATAAATGTCAGCTGGCACAATGTCCAACGTCAACGTTGTGTCAGTAGTAAGATGACATTGATTTGAAATGTTATATGGCGTGTTTAGTGTATTATAACGGTTTTCATAAGTAAGCTGAATGCTATCTATAAGTATTGAAAGTGTTACCGATAGAAGTGAGCATAAGTTCCTTGTCGAAGACGAGTCCGGTCATGATCATAGGATGCACTTGAGGGATGAAGTGGCAGCGGTACAGCATCTCGCGGAAAAGCCGCTGAATCACTATCTAAATACAAAAAATATGGATAATTTAAACTAACTATAAGTTACAGCGTAACTGTGTACAGAATCCTAATGTTAGAAACGTCAGCAATAGCAATCAGCAATGCAAAATTCCCAGTCATTATTATTAATTCCAACACCAATGGACGTTCACTCACTATTTTGAAATGTGAACGATGTACAGACGGCAGCACACGAAGCTACATATTGACGGATAGCTTGATGTGCTGTTGACTGTACATCATAACATGGAACATAAAACTTAACTTGAATTGGGTAAATAACTTTTTTCGACAAAGTTCTAAATGACCTAATCGTTCACGCTAAGGAAAAGGATGACATACTTCAAAGGAATCCATGAAGTCTAAAAAACGGCGCTGATTTTGGGACAGGAACAAGTCAGCTCTCTTTTTGAAATATTTACTTCCTTTAGAATATAGGTAAAGGACGTTCACAAACAAACTTTTTAAATGCGAATCGAATCAAAATTTGCCTTGCATTGAAATTTTTAGTTGAATTGACATTTTTAAAGATTGTTAATTCGGCCTGCGCTTCGTTGCAGGCGACTGCATTTAAAAATGTTTAATACAACACTAACCTCGAACTGCTTAGGATCGGTGCTGTAATACGGCCCATCCTCTTTCATAAGTAGGTAGAAGTAGAATAAGGTGACAGTGGGAGATCGGAAAGGCGTGTTGATGAGATCTTGTGAGTTCCACACGAAGTCGTCCTCGCAGACGTACGTGCAAAGGCAGGGCGTCTCACACATGTTCACGAAGAATAACATCGACTGCTCGATGCAATAGCGAAGGGCGTACTGGCAAAGAAAGAAGATTTATGTATTATATCACACTAGCGATGCGCGACTGCGAATGATTTCTATATTCGACTTTTACTAATCCTATCATTCGAATGACAAATTAGTAACCTACCAATTTTCGTATTCGAATTATTTGAATGATCACTCATTACGAATTAGTAGGTAGTACTAATCCATACATTCCACCTATCACCATATTTGATCACCTAGCCCTCTCTGACATATGGTAAATACCGTAAACGTGGCATGGACAGGGATATTTTGATATGAACATAGTGAATGATCCGAGTAGTTCTGACATAATGATCATTTGACTCGTGCATCCGACCGAGTGGCAGGGTTTCACCATTGGTTTCAAGTTGAATGATTGTGCTTGTTTTCGACTTAGGCGAATGATTTGCCCATTCGAATGATTAGTAATAGTAACATTCAAACATTTTATAATTTATTTATTTTGCATTTCACATTACAGGGTACAGATTTATAAACCTAAACAGATTTATAACCTTGAACGTAATTAATTAACACGGATTTTAAATTACTATTTATATATTTATTTACTGTTTACAGCAAATTCATGACCCTGTAAGTGCACAGCAATGTCAATTCTACATTCTAAATAAATCTAAATTTGTATTACAATTAATTACATTATTATTTCAATAAAAATTATATAAATTAAAAAATATACAAATTATTAATATATATTACGTCTTTACGTTAAAATTAATGTTGTTAGGAGAATTAATCAATCATTAAAATATTCTTCCAATGAGTAAAAATATTTTTTTACAAGAAATTGCTAATAAATAAATTTTTATTATCATTGAAATTGGGCTCGAACTGTGTAGTTTTAGTTTTGACCTGGTCAGTGAAGCTAAATTATCCTAAATCTTGTCTCAAACCTTCGCGTTTGGTCTTTTAATTTTGTATAAAACTAGGATATTTTCTTGGAATGGAAGTTATAGTTAAAATTCCAATGTTCGAAATCATAATCGAGCATATGGTAGGGTCACATAGTTCTCTTAAAACGTGTGTAGTACAACTCTCATCTGACTTACATACTGATTACAGCATAAACATTCTCCCTGGAGAAAAGTACTTACACGTGGATCAAAACTACAGCCAATTGGCATTAATTCATTTTGGTGGTGTTAAATGAGACTGTGTATTACCTCAATCCAATGTACATAATCGTAAAGAAGCCGTCTGTACTTTTAATGGGGATAACATTATTTGATCCTCAAAGAAATAATTGCTATCTTCTAAATTTGCACTGTTTTAAATAAACGATTTTTTATATTATATATATTAATTGTTTCATCATTATGTTTAAGCCTACTAAATTAATATTTGATATTCAAAAATAATATTTGATCCTCTATGTTATAATTGACCTTTTTTTATTTAACGATATAGTATATATATATATATATATATATATAATGTGTACATATATATGTAATAAGTGCTTGGTTGCGGCCTCCATTCAATAGGTTCGGTTAGGTTTGTATATGAAGTTTGGGCGCAATGTTCGTCAGTGAGAGGTACTGGGAGGACAATGGTCACTTTTTGCGAGAGCGTAATTTCGCAGAAAGAGGCCTAGGAGCTGCTCATAGAGGACGACCGCCTCGCTGACCCGCTCCGAATACGGCGGCCAGGGAGACGAAGGAGGCAGTACGCCCACCTTCTTTCCCCGCCGTAAACTGGGGTCGGGGGACCCTTACACCAAGTTTGAGGGTGCCCTTACATCCCGGGGCATCCTCCGAAAACCGGAGCTCGCCTCCCGGGCCATCCGCCTAGACGTTTCAGCATGCGTATGCGGATCCTGGGTCGTCTCTATGGCGGGGGTGTTGACCGCAGGGTTTTAGTGGGTATACTGGGGCTACCGCCTCCCAAATGACAGCTCGCTGTTCCCCCGAGGCGACCGGTATGTAACGCATATCCCAGCGTATATAAAAAACAAAAGTTTGTATATGAGAAAGCAGCAGCCAATTTGCTTGTGTTTCCGAATATGTATTCAGGTTAAATTACATTGTAATTAATATAATATCAGTATACCATATAATCAACTTTTACTTAGTTTTAAAAATAAGTATCTAAATTTTATTTTTAATGCTCATTGGTCTTACTTTTGAGGCCTATCATGAAACTATCGAAGTTTTTACAAATCATTTTTACATATACAAAACAAAATTTTTTTGCGTAGTTTAGAACTGATTTAAATATCCATCGATTTAATTTATATTTTATGTCTCAGACAAAGAAGAACAATCACTAAAGAAGATGACCGTTTATTTGATGACCGAGTTTTTTGCCTGCTGCTTTTGCAAATTTAAAATTATCATTTAAATACATGTCCATTTAATATTTAACTAATGTGACTGCATTCTTGCATACACACACTTTTTTTATAATATCGAGTAACGGAACGAACAAGCCTTGCAGGCGCAATGATAGTAATGTATATGCCTGTCTATAACAGTTACAGTGTCACTCAGAGCTTTAGAGCGGGGCACTGCCACTACGCCCGTCACCCTGATACATAAATTGACAAGTGCCTGTAATTTCACCAGCACCCTTACCCTTCAAAACCGGAACACAGTAATGCTGACATTACTGCTTGGCGGCAGAAATAGGTAATGTGGTAGTACTACCCTGGACGAACTCTTCTCACAAGGAGCTCTACTGCTACTAAACATGTTAATGTCCAAAAAGATTCAAAGAGAAAGATAGTGTTTACCTGCATTCTGAAACGCACGAGCTGCATGAACCGACACAGCTTGCTGACGAGGTAGAAACGCCACTGTTTTTCGTATATGTTATACCACCTACGAAAATTTGTATTTTAATAAGGCATTAAACATTTTACAAAAAATTGGATTCATCGGAAACGAGACTAGAATTTTTATGCTATCAAATGACATGATTTCTCGAGCGATACGCCTGGTGGAAAGCGAGACGCCTGTCCATAATAGTAGTAAAGACCTGATGGACACTACCACTGCGCCGGTCATGCTAAGGTATAAAATTGCTTCAAACATGTTAAAACAATGAAATGCCATACGTTGTTCAAAATTATATTCTGAGTAATACTCAGAATGTAATTTTGTAGAAATATCTACAAAAAATTGAGCCCGATATAAAAATGTTTTTTAATTTACGTTTCCATAATATCTTCGGTTTAAATTACAAAGATGGAATATTAAGAGCGGTTATACACGGCGACATTTAGTAGCGATGCAAACGCGATGCAAACGCAATGCAGTAGCGATGCAGTCGCAGTCCATCTTTACACAACCACGCGATTTTAAGCAACGATGCAAACGCGATGCAAGCGCGCGACTGCATCGATACAAACGCGCGATTGTATCGCTATATTTGGGATTTATAAGCGATTGTATCGATGCAATCGCCTTTAAATCGTAAGTGTAGCGATGCAAACGCGCGTTTGCTACGCTGCTAAATGTGTGTAACCATTGTAAGAAATATTTCTTCGATCTGACTGCGTGTGTTAATCACCATAACAATCTAGTGGAGTAATTTCATAAAAAATAATTGAATATCATGATAGTAAAACATCGAGAAATCATGTTTAAAGAGTATAATACTCTATGGCAGCAATACGGTTCAGGATTACATCAACAAATATTTTAATTCTCGCCTCGCCCATCCTCGTCAATCCAGACCATTTCCATCGAAGATGGGCTAGGAGAGAATTGAAATATTGTCATACAAATTTCAATCCTCGTCTCGCCTCGTCTCACCTCTCCTCCCCGGTGGAAAACCACCTTAAAGGGGGCTATTATATTAACAAAAACGGAGATTTTGGATATTATATTTAGCGTTTAAATAATAATTGTGACATTGTCCGTAAGAACGCTTTCAATGAGCCATTTTTTGACAGGTCCATTGAGTTGTACTAGTCACAAGGTTTCGTGGTGATGCTTCTATGGCTAATGGTATCAAATGACAAGTCACCCCTTGCCAACGTCGCGGAAGCACATGCGGATGGCGTGCGCGGTGTTGTTGAGCCAAGTGATGTTAAGGTACTTGAGCATCATGGACGTGCAGTGTTGTTGCGCTGCATCGAACTCGGCAAGGCTTACGTTGCGTCCGTAGTTAGCCGTGAAGAACAGCATTGACTCCACCTACACAAACTCACGTATACCTGCAGATAGTGTCAAGTAAAGTGTGATTTTTGTTGGTAGTCACGAAGTATTTACCGATTGCCGCCGTCCCTACCTTGACCACAAAATCCTAACATAATCCCATTCATATCCCATCCTCTCTGTTTTCTTCTATCGCTAACCTTTATCCTTTTTCCACCAATCTTAGGTCTACCCGAGGCAGTCTGTTGCTAAGCAAGTTGTTTTGTTTTGGCTCTGTCTGAACGAACTTTGTTTTCCATTTTATCTCTAGTTTAGGTTGACCTACAGATTCGCTTGTGCCTCGTGGTCAAATTACTTTGGTTCTTTCTCTCATTTGGCAGACCAAGTGTATTCTTGTCCGCACATATCGTCCACTTTAGTAAGACGTAACTTAAGATTTTGACGGAAACGTTTATATATGTCTAACTACATAATACACAAATTTATGTTCTATGTTGTAATGCATAGAATTCATTTTCGTCAAAATTGTAAGATACATCCATTAGTGCTGTAACGTACGATATAAAATAAGTTGCATATTTTACAAGGCTGTAAGTTTTCACAATTAAAATTATCACAAGGCTTCCTTTTTTACCTGCTCTTATTAATTTCCGTTACCTTGAGGCACTCGTCGACGACCATGTGTATGCAGGACACGGCCTCCGAAAGTACGTAGAGACTGTACCACTGATTGTACTTCATACGGTCTTGGAAGTCCACCATCTCGCACGGGTACCGACCTGCCCACAATAACATTTCTGTATCAACAGGTCTCATATGTCTGTTGTGTCATTAACTTACTTTCAGGGTAAGTAGTAATTATTTATATATTTCAATAACACACGTACTCTTATGGCAGAATCAGAATAATTTTGAATTTTAAGTGTTCGGTATTCCACGGAATGCATCACAGTCGGCCGAGATCAAGAATTCAAGTTCAAGAATAGGCAACAGACGCGCGTCGTAATGAACAGTACCACTTCCAGCCTGAAGTTGTAAGCGAGCCTGGTTTGGATTAACCAGTTAATGGACAAAACAATTGGGTTTACTCTTGTGATTATCTGGCAGATGTATTTAAAGGTACACATTAACCAATTTAATTTTAAAAACTTATGTTGTTAATGAACATATCTTTTTTAAAAAAACAGACCTCCAAAGTTCGTAGAATTACATCTGTTTGCCAAGTTTTATTGGAATCGGTTACCGGAAAGTGCGCGAAAGCGGATTCATCTCCTACTTTGCCACCCTTAGAGGTGGATTATTTTTTCTTATTAATTCTTATTAATTGAAGATATCGAACGAAGAAGTTTACACTATCCACTAGAAGAGGCTAAAGTTCAGTGTGCTTTATTATTACTGAACACACTTACAGTAGTCAGGCACGGGCGGCTCGTACTCAGGCGTGGGTTCGTGCACGAAATTGTACACGTCCCGGTTGTTCTGGATCGTGTTGATTATCTTCATTTTGCCTTCTATCTTCATGTACATGTACTCCGCCTAATATAAAACACTGTAGCGATATATCATTGTGAACAGGCCTTATACTATCGAAGATAAAGCCTGTCTCTCATTTTTCGTTAGTCAGTTCTTAACTTCTTGGGCGTTTCAAGCTTTATTATGTTGTCATGAGGAAACTTATGACCAGTGATCGGAATTGAGGAGCTAATTTAACTAAACTAAAGAATATCTGGAAATTCCTTCTGCAAATCTCGGGACATCTCGGAACTTCTCGGTACTAGTAGTTTTAGTACCAGTAGAGCAGAAAGAGTTCATCCAGGGAAATACTGCCACCTTACCTATTTCTGCCGCCAAGCAGTAATGTCACCATTACTGTGTTCCGGTTTTGAAGGGTAAGGGTGCCGGTGAAATTACAGGCACATGAGACTTGTCAACTTATGTCTCAGGGTGACGGGCACAGTGGCAGTGCCCCTCAGATCTTTGCGATTTAAAGCTCTGAGTGGCACTGCAACTGTTATGAATAGGCGTGTAGCTAGCCATCAGGCGCACGGCTTGTTCGTCCCGTCACTTGATATTATAAAAAAATATATTTGAATATGCGTATTATTTATTGAAATTTGAGTACATTGGCGACAAGTTATTATTTCCTATTGAGTATTTGCTACAAATTATTGTCTAAAAAAATAATATTGGACTTGAGTTTCTATAGGTAGGTACTTACGTATTTAAATACTTTAGCCTTTTAAAAATTAAACATGAGACAACTTATATTTTGGAATGTTTAGAAAATAAACAGTAAAAAAAAAGAAATTTATATGCTAACTGGTGATGAAATAGGTATGTCCTTATCAAGAAAACGTTTGTATGTTGCTTAAAGCAATCCCTCAATTCCGAATATTGTTTAAGACTCATGAATCCTAAAAATCGGTCGTTCGACATTTGAAGGTACGCCGATTTAGAAGGAATACAACAAATGCAGATTAGTTATGCAGAGCATTTTTGTACTTAGAATCACAAATCTAAATTTAGCTCTCGACGCAAATATCATCTATACATTGTGATAGATTGAACGAGATAAATATTTAATGAGGCAAACGAGTAGCTTATTTCCAAAATAAAATCGCCCAAACATAAGAAAAAAAATGTCGTGCTATTTTATAACTGACACCCTCTTTATTTGGGCTACTCTATGACAACCGATCGGTAGCGGATGGCCGGCGGCGGCGCTTCAACGAGCGAATATTTTCTTGAAATATTATATAATTACCAAACGTCATAATGGTTCTAGAAATTTTTAGATTATGTGTACATAACAGACATTTGGTGTTGTTGAAACAAGTATTGACGTCATTAGTAAATATAATAAATAATAACAGCCCCAAAATAGAACCCTGGGGTACACCGGAAGTAACTCCATGGTGCTTGATGGAAAGCCGTTTACAACAACTCTCTGTGTCCTGTTAGACACAAATGAGGTAAAACAACAACCAACAACAACCGTTCCGTGTTCCGAAGCGAGAATTTTTGAGATAATTACGTTTTAGAATTTCAGCTATCGTCAGGTATTTGGTAAAAGGCGTGTATCTGTCTACACTAAATTTTACAGGCTTTAACGTCATTACTTTGTTATTTCAATGGTTACAACTTTCATTTTTGTAAGGTAAGCATTAATTTATTTTGTTTACGGAGTAATAGCAATAAATTCCCGTAAGTTACGATAATTTGGTTGCCAAGACATTTACGCGGATTTGATATGTTAATTGGAGAATACATTTTTAAACGAGTATGCATTGACAAATAAATGGACGACGGGTCTAATACAACAACCACGGAAAAAATGTCCCAAGTCAACCTATTCGAAATTTAAATTGTAATGTCATCGCAGTATCGCGCTGTCAGTAGAACAAATGAAGACTAAAGCGGAGTGTCGCGCTCTGTATACGATTTTAGCGCCTTACAAGTGCGGACACTTTTTAGCGCGGACCCGACGTCCATATAATTGTAAGTCAATGCGAGTATGGGATTGTTTTATTTAAAATGAACTCTTTGCCACTGATACGTAAAGAAATATTAAAGTAATGTAATAGGGTAATATATTTCTTTTGGGTAGACCCATCGAATATATAACCAGAAATAGAGACGAAATGTCATTTAATTTGTTTGAAAACTATTCTGACATATCATTACTGTGACAACTGCGCTCCGATTGGCCAGCCCGAGTTCGAAATAATTGACGGGTGTCGTCAATTGTTTCAGTTCAAATCGACCAGTTAACTTGAGCTTTGCTATAATGGACGAAAATTACAAAATAACATATTTAACATTTAATTACCGATGAAATGTGATTCCGTTTGTTTTGTAATTAGATGTTTTGCTGTTTTTCCCCACACCACCGAATATAACAGCATGGTATTGTTAGAGATATTATCTTTGTCTTTGTCAATAAATACAGAATATTTTTTGTAATATACGGAGACGTACACACAGGTCAGTAGTTGGTTTGTCTATATTTAAGTGCAAACGGTAGTTGATATTTATAAGAGCCGTATCCCTAATGTATTACCAGGAATATATGGCCCTTATTTCGTAGCCGTATAAAAAGGTAATTGTTCTTATAAGACGAAACTGACAGAAAAACAATAAGTACCTCAGCCTTTAAGGCGTTAAGATGCTCTTCATCGAGCTCCTTGGCCTGCCGGTGGATTCGGACCATCTTCAGGATCTTGGGCATATACTTTTCAGGCATAATCGGCAGCCCGTGAAGCAACAGGCAGTCCAGGTACAGATAGAACCTACAGTTTGTGATATTCAATAAGAAAGCAACTTTAATAATAATAATAATAACAATAATGACAATGACAATCACAATGACACTGACAATGACAATGACAATGACAGTGACAGTGACAATGACAATAATAATAATAATAAATATGTTCATTTCTCACCACAAAATACAACACAATATAAGTCTTAGTAGGTATGTTACAGTAGTATATTGTGGGAGCTGGTGCTTGATGTAGGTATTTCACCTGTTTTACAAGTCACCAGGCCCCATCCCTTGAATAATGAGATTTAATTACTAAATAATAAGGAGTAAGTGAGTAGATGATTAAATTTGTTAAAATAAGTAAAAACCATAAAAATAAAAACTAAGACTAGACAGTACATATTATTAGCGTGAGAAGTAGATGCGTGTGCGTGCGTGCGTGTGTGCGTGTGTGTGTGCGTGTGTGTGTGCGTGTGTGTGCGTGTGTGTGCGTGTGTGCGTGTGTGTGCGTGTGTGTGTGTGTGCGTGCTTTTTTTGAAGTTTAAAGAAAACAAGGTAGTATCTTTAAGTGCAAGAGCGATATCAAGATTTTATTTAAGACTGTTAAGAAATATCACTTGAGTAAAAATCAGCATGGACAATCAGTCCATGGATTTTTGAATGGATTTATTTATTTACTTGTCACAATACAATACAAATAGAAGAGTGCATGTATACGCATGTATAGGTATGTACATTTGTAATTTTTTATTTACGAAAGAAGTTTTTTTATAATATCAAGTGACGGGGCGTACAAGTCGTGCGCCTGGCGGTAAGCTACACGTCTGTCCATAACAGTTGCAGTGCCACTCAGAGCTTTAAATCGCAAAAATCTGAGTGGCACCGCCACTGCGCCCGTCACCCGCAATTTGAAAGAAAGAAAGAAAGAAAGAGAAGTACTTTATTTGGTAAACTTATGACAAAATATATATAACAGAATGATAACAAAAATAAAATAATGTTATAAATACAAAATAAAAGAATTACTTTTAAAAGTCACCAAAATGGTCTCCACTCAGCTTTTTGTAACAAGACGTGTGAAAACACCTTGTTACGCTGGTTTTCAGTAAAGCCGAATAAATAACAAAGATGATGACGTCGCTTCGTTCAAGCAGATAAAATAATTAAAAAAAATACAACAGACTAGACAACTAGACGTAAATCAAGACAAATGCAAATCAAAAAGTAAAAATAGTGCTATAAAAATGGGTGCACGTGTAGAGTAGGTGGAATGTGATAAAACCAAAACTGATTGAAGTTTTAATAACTCTTGAAAAACGTGTATGGACTATACACGTTTTTCACCATTGAGCCAGCGTGTTAGAATATGCCATATTTTCTTTCCATAGAATTTGCAATAGAAGACCAGTGCCCGGCAGTGAGACGTGCACTGGATTGGTGATCATAAGTAGGAACTCGATTAAAGTAAGATAGTTGGTTTTGTCACAATTCAAGGTGATTCTAACAATATGGATGGAAAATATCACCCCTAAAATACTGTAAAATAGGAACGTGCCACCTGAATACCTCAGGTTGTTTTCCACTTCCTTTCTTAGCTCGATAGCAAACTTGACTCTTTGGGAGAATGTCTCAGGATCATCAGCTTTAAACATCAGACGGATACGAGGTACACTGCAAATACAGAACCAAACTTTAAACAAAAACTTTTTTATAAAAAGATATCGACCTCAAAAGTTTGTGGAATTACATTTATGAATCGCTTACGGGAAAGTGCGCGAAACCGGATTGAACCCCTAGTTTGCCACCCTTGGAAGCAGAATATTTTCTTCTTAGTAATTGCATAGCATACAAAACAACTGCCTCCGTGGCCAAACGGTTACCATGCCAGATTGCCACCCAGGTTCGATTCCCGGGCCGGGAGAAATATTTCTATGGCCTACATTTATTTCTCTCGTGAGTTTGGGTGTAATTTGTGGTTGTCTATGTGTGTGTCCATGGCACCCGCGACACAGGGTTACCCTAGTGTGAGAACCTCCTCCTTTTTGAAGTCGGCCAAAAAAGGTTACGCCAGAGACACTGACTCATAATCGTGAATATTTTGTTGAAAAGTGATCGTGCAAAAATTACTTGATTATACTAAAATAAGGATATGATGACTATCGTAATAGCAAGTCAATTAACGGCATCAGAATCCAATGGACACCAGTGTCGGTAAAAAGTTGATGGATCCACATAGTTAGTCCACATAGCTGAGAGATCCCCGAACTGACTTTCACCAATAATATAAAATACGCGCAAAATAGGCGCTTTGTCGTCGAGTTGCGGATACCAGCCCGTTGCACCAAGTACCAAGTACCAAGTTCACCAATAATATTCTCTAATGATTGTTGGGATATCTTTTTATTTAATATTGCGAGTTGATGAAATCCATAAAAAAATTACTTACTTTAATCTAACAGGGCATCACTTACATTAATGTTACTTAATAGGGTATTTGATTAGATTAATGTAGGTTACCATAAGATATTACTTACGTAAATATAATTAACTTAATAATGCGGTAATTACATAAAAATAAACCGCTTAATTGGGCATTACTTATATTAATGTAAGTCATTTAAAAGGAACTTACTTACATTAGTGTAAACGGCACAGTGGTATGTTAGAAAATTAATGGAATGAAAACTATACTAACGTAAATGTTCTCTTTGAACCATCCAAAACTAAAATGTCCCACATTTCAGTATCCTTGTTGTAGCTGAACACAGCCGCGTTTGTCCACTGACAACAAATATTATATTATTGCATGCAGAGTGTTCAATATATCAGACAACTACACTAATTACCTAATTAACTACTAGGGAATTCCTTGTACTACGAGTACCAGAGCAAAGAATTAACCCCGGAGTTCTATCCAGAACACTTAGATATTCGTTAGCGTCTTCAAATGTCTTAATTACAAGTTTGAATAAAATAAATTCATTAGGTTTTTAAAAATATAATAGCGGACTATCTATTATTTAAGAGAAAATAAGGGCGCTATCAAATTAGCCGCTGTAGACGCGCTGCAGCCGCGCGGCGACTGTCGCGCCGCTGAAGTGCGACCAAATTTTTTGTGATATTTTATCTTTCGACTCAGTTACACGATGGATTCTGACGAAAACGTTACTTTACCTAGTTCTTGGGACACATACTTCAAATATAGGTATTAGAAATGACTCACCTGCTATGTTTTTTTCGGTTATAGTTTTAGTTTTAAAATTGTCAATAAATTTTATATATATTTTAAATTGTCAATGCCTTTTTTTCCAGTCGATTACAATAACTGGCGGACCTGTTGTTTTGCATTCTCTGTAAATTTTTCAACTCGATTTTCGTCCATCGTAGTTAATTTTTAAAAATTAACATGTACACCTCACAACAGTCACTGCAACCGAGCGTAACTGCAGCGCGATTGTTGCGCGGCCGCCGCGCGGTTGCAGCGCTACTAGAAATTGTATGAAAAGTGACAATCGCGCGGCCTTCGCGCGGCCGCCGCACGGCAATCAGCGTCTACTTCGAACGCGCTCTAATGACTAATTAATATGTAACCAAACTGATGTCTATACCTCACAGTTTCTTAACGTTGAGCGACATCTGCCGCTATCAATCGCCAAAAAAGGAATATCAGTACCTACGTATGGATGTGATCCCCATTTAGTTCACGTAATATTAAATGTACTGATTCAACGGATTTGTGATAAGCTAATAAAAGATAATGAACTCTATATTTTCACACATTTTCCATAAATAGATGCATACAAATTATGTCACCAAAAATTTTAATGAGAGTTTGCCATTGTCCTTTGATTTCTAAATTCGTCCTACCGGCAATCGATACTAGTGATAAAAGAGACTCAGTCTTTTAAGGCGTTTTATAACGACTCGACTCGATTTTACAGGACTCGACTCTAAAATTAAAACTGGGGGTTCGAGTTTTTATTAATAAGACTCAGCAGTTATACTAAAATACTCAAAAGACTTAAACGAGTTGAACGACTTGAAGGACTCGAAAGACTTAAGGGACTCGAGTTGTTTTGCAAAGGACTTATACCTATTTTATGTCTTATTAAACCCGAAGTTTATAAATACAAATGACGTAAGTAGTATGTAGTAAATAATCACGTTTATTTACTCATAATAAAAATCGTAAAATAAATACCTTGTGAGTAGAAATAAAATTTATTTTATTTTTATTTTATTTATTAAACTTTATTGACCACAATACAAAGGGTACAAAAGGCGGACTTAATGCTAAAAGCATTCTCTACCAGTCAACCTCTGAGAAAAACGAAATTCACGAACGCGGTAAATAAACAGAATATTACGGTTATATTAAAATAAATGAAACAAATTCATAATTATACATATAACAAACTAACCTAATACCTTACTTAATAATATAATACATACACTTACATACATACAAATATACTATACATATACAAAATACTTACAATAACAGAATATGATGATGATTATTGCTGTGACAAACAATTTAGAAGATGCTCATGAACATTATTTTTAAAAGAAAATATATTAGGAGACCGTCTGATAGCGTCCGGTAGAGCGTTCCAGAGCCGTATCGAGTGGAGAGTAAAAGAATCTGACATGAAGCCAGAATGAAAGAGAGGTACAGTGAGTGATAGTGAATTCATGGAACGAAGTGGGAGGTCATGAGAGTCACAAAGATACTGAAATTTACATTTCAAGTATTCTGGAAAGTGGGGATTGAAAAGAACGGAGTACAACGTACAGAGAATTCTTTTCTGTCTGCGTTGACGAATAGGGAGCCATTTAAGTTGAGACCTAAAAAAAGAAACATGATCCAATTTCCGAAGGCAGAAAATGAAATGAATAGCATTATTGAGCAGGCGGTCCAACTTGTCTAATAGATTTTCATTGAGATCAGGATAACAGACATCAGCATAATCAATGAGTGGGAATATAAGGGAGGTGACGAGCAGGGTCTTAGTACTAATGGGAAGAAAATGTCGAAAGCGGTTTAGAAAACGTAAAGAAGAAGTAACCCTACGACTAACCTCGGACACCTGTAAGGTCCAGCTTAGTGAGGAGTCAATGTAAAGACCAAGGTTTTTTACACTACAACTGAATGGAACAGACGAGTTCTCATAAACTACTTGAATGAGCGAAGTATGGTCAATCTTGGATATCTGTTTAGATCCACCTAAAATAATTGCTTGACACTTGAACGGATTAACAGATATCCCAAAATTAGTTGACCACGCACTAACACATTGTAAATCGCTGTTAATGTCAGAAATCGCTGAATTAATGTCCTCGGCAGATGCCTGCGCGTAAATCTGCAAGTCATCAGCATAAAAGTGGTAAGAGCAGCTAAGTGAGAAAGAAAGAAAATTAATAAAAAGTGAAAATAAAAGCGGTGACAAGATTCCACCCTGCGGAACACCAGCTGCCAAATCACGCCAATCGGAGACTTTAGGACCCACGCGAACAGCTTGTTGACGATCACGAAGGTAGGACGAGAACCAGTCTAGTGATAATGGGGAGAAGTTAAGCGACTTCAGGATGGCAAGCAGAATGTCGTGGTCTACCATGTTAAAAGCGTTGGAAAAGTCGACGAGAACTATAGCAGTGACCAACTGCTTCTCCATGCCCAGCCTAATGTCTTCCACAACTTTGAGTAGGGCAGTTGTTGTGCCGTGTCCCGGGCGAAACCCAGATTGGAAAGGGGTTAGAAGGTTGTTAGAAAATGTGTAGGAAGACACTTGCTTATGAACAACAGATTCAAGAATTTTAGACAGGAAAGGAAGAATAGAGATAGGCCTAAAGTTATTAAGTTGTATAGGAGAAGATATTTTTGGCAAAGGTATAATAAATGCCTTACGCCAGGCACGAGGGAAATCACCATACTGCAAGGAGAAGTTGATGATATGGACAGTAGCAGGGAGAATTTGATCAACAATGCTGACAATCATCACTCTGCTCACCTCGTCACATCCTACGGCTTTAGACTTAATAGAAAAAATTATTTTACGCAAATCGTCAGCTGTAACTGGTGAAAAAGAGAAAGAAACTGAAGAAGAAATGGGCCTGGAAGCAATAAGTCGAATAGTGTTCGCCTTAATGAAGGGATCTAAAGAAGGAGCAGACGAGAAATGGCAGTTGAAGTCGTTAGGAGCAAAAGGGTAGGAGTCAGGTTGAGCAGAACATTTGCCTAAGTTAAAAGTTCTGAGAAACTTCCAGACATTAGCAGGAGAACAATTACTTACATTATTATAAAAATATTGACGCTTAGCTGCCCTCACCATCCCATTACACCTATTACGAGCAGTCTTGTACAGAGTCCAATTACAATCCGACCTATCGCGCTTGTAAACCCGAAACAATCGATCACGTCTAGTCATAGCCATACGAATGCCCCTGTTAATCCAAGGAGCAGGAGGCCGCTTAACCCTAACAGCCCGTAGTGGGGCATGAGCATCGTACAAATTGATCAAACACTGGTTAAGGTTGGAGATTTTCAAATCAACTGACGAAGCACCATACACCCCAGAGAAATCAAGGTCAGCGGCATCCTTCCTCAGCATGTGATGGTCAAGTCGACCAAAATTACGCATCCATACCAAAGGGAGTTTAACTTTCGGTGGCCTTAATCGGTATTGCATGTAGATAAGGTCGTGCTTTGAAAATCCAGGAGCAAGCAACTGACCATGACCAGCAACGAAGTCAGGAGAGGTTATGATTAAGTCAAGCTGTGTATCATTGGAAGAGGGGTTATGATGAGTAGGCTCAGATGGCAAGATTGAAAGGTTCACAGACTTGACAATATTAAGAAGCTTAGTGGATTGCGGAGTGTTAGACAGAAGATCCGTATTGAAGTCACCCATAATTATGTGATGTCTGTAATCAGTGCAAAGTGGTTCAAGAACGGACTCAAGTTGCATGAAGTAATCTGCCGAAGGTGGACAATAGACTACACCCAGAACCGTTATAGTACCCTTAACTGCAATCTCCAAGAAGATGTACTCTGCAGAACCAGAGCAGGCAGAGGAAGACGATAAAAGTAACTTAAAAGGAATGTCACTGCGCAAGTAGATGGCAACACCGCCGCCCCTCCTGCCAGTACGATCATTCCGGATTAGAGAATACCCAGACAGGGAAAAGGACTGAGAAGAAAGACAAGGTTTCAACCAACTTTCTGAAACCAAGATGGCGTGAATAGTAGAAGTTGGAGATGAGAAAGTTTCAAGGAAGTCAGCGTAGTGAGAGGGTATACTCTGTGCATTAATATGACAGACATTAAAACAATGAGGTATATTAAGTGAATTGTGCAGTAGGGTACTTAAAGTTTCTGGTTCAGACTGAGAGTAAGAGCTAGCTGTGGAGGTAAAACTAATGTCACAAGCGGAATAAAAAGAATCATCATCAGACATATAACTCTAAAATAAATAATAAATAAAGGAATATAACGTAACAATATCTAAAAAAAAAAAATTAAAACAAAATAGTAATAATTATCTAAATACCTGTCCCGCCCGGTTGACTAATATAGAATAGGTAACTCCATGATAAACAAAGGATATTTAATTCATAACTAAGAAAAAAAAAAATTAAAATAAATTTATAACAAACGTAAACAAACTAACGTAAAAACACTACACGTTCACAAACTAAAAACTTTAAAATAAAAACAGAGATCACACCAGGCACAATGCAATATTCCACTGCCACAGTTTAAGATACTACGTCCAAGAGTTTAAGCATAAAATAATAAAAAAAGTAATGTCATATTGACAGACCACAACAAACAAAGTAGCAGTGAAACTTACCAACACCGGTTAATGTCCTATTAGAGCTTAGCGAAATTTTTTTTTTTTTGTTTCGTTTTTTTTCTTTCAACTGTGACATTGGCAAAATCATCAGTTCTCATATTGATGGAGCCATAAAAATAAAAAGTGAAGTGAAAAACGTGGAATAAAAACAAGATTTGTGATGGTAGATTCAGAAAACAAAATATTAGTAAACCGTCATTAACTAACAAAACAAAAAGAAAATCAGTAAGACATGTTAAAACAGATTTACGACGTAAAACAAATTACAATCAAAAGTACCTGGTATGATGAGCACTATAGAAAAGAGATATCACTTTTTTGGCCTGACAGTCCGCTTAGGTCTAGTACGCTTCTGGGGAGAAAGGTGTTGGACGATGGTTTTTTTTTTTTTTTTTTTTTTTTTTTTTTTTTTTTTTTGAGGTTCATCCTCCGTCGCACCAAGTGCCGAAAGATCACCTTCAGTGAACAGCCTCCGCCTGGTGCCATCCTTTAGCTTGACAATAACATTGCCATCCATCGTCCAACACCTTTTGATACCGAAGCGTGAACGTGCCTTGATAAACATTGCCTGCCGTTGACGAGTTAGGAACTCAGAAACTGTATGGGGTGTACCCTTGAGAGCCGTCTTCTTACTCCACACAGCAACTTTCAATGAATGCTCAGTGAAACGCACTAACACTGGCCGGCACTTTTTGTTGCCCGTCAAACTGCCCAAGCGATGGCAAACACTAAGCTTCTCCCGTGATAAATTCATGCTCAGTTTATCATTAAATATATTTATTACATACTGGGAAAGGTTCTCTTCAACAGTCTCTGGGATGCCGCCTACAAGGAGATACTTTCTACGGTGCCGCATTTCGATGTCATCAACAGATTTGCAAAGTTGAGATATTTGTTCTCGCAATATTAGTAGAATGGACAACACCTCCGATTTGAGTTCACCAAATTCTTCCCACAAACGTGACTGTGAGTTCTCAACTTGTGGCTGTGAAGAGGTGGCCTTCCACTGTGCTTCCAGCTCATTCATCTTCTTAAATAGCCTGGCTTCAAGAGAAAGTTGAGTCTCTAAAACTGTAGTGAAATTGGCCATAGTTATATGATGTGTAGCCCACAGTGAATAGTGCCTTTGTAGTGAGAGTGGTACCGGACAGGACAGTGTACTAAAACACTATTATTTGCACATATACAGCATAGATAACACTAGATCTAGATTCAGACACTTTATACTATTGAAAATGATTGCAATTAAGCTCACTGATTATGTGTAAGTAATTAATTATTAAAATTATTATAGGAGCTCAAACTTAAGATGTTTTTACTTCTACCGCCAT